GTCCGTAAGGTATCTCGTGAGAATTCCGTCGGTACACATCAGGTATCAGCTTGCAAAGATGGCTCCTCTCTGTTTCTTGAAAGCCTGTATAATTGGACTGTGGCTCCAGCGATTCCCTTCTCAGAGCAGATACCATACCCAATACCGTCAATGCATATTGGACAGACCTGTATGCACAACAGAAATAGTGGAGGGAAATCTCTAAGCTCATGAACACGTCAGTGAAGTTTGAACTGCCGTTGTTTGTGGCCATCAGTATAAACCTATCGACTATAAGAATAATGTGCAAACAAACTTCTATAACCACGGCTGGGGCCATGGAATTATAAACTTAGGGAACTGCCAATTCTGGTCTGAGTTGCGTTCGAGGCCTGCAATTCATGATGGCTATCGTATGCTGCATTGACCAGAGATCATATTATTATAAAACTTCCATGCCACATTGAAACACGCACCACTTTCGAGTACTTTGGTATCCCCCACCAAATGGGCATTCGTTCTCGGGGTGGCAGGCGTCACTATTCGTTATGCCTGGATCAGATTTCATTGACCCCAACTGTCATGAAGAATCATTTTTACTTTGACTGGATTTCAGTACAAGTTGTAGAACTGCAGAATCAATTTCGTTGTATTTGGGCAACCATTTCACTACAAACGCTCTATTGGGAAAATAGAATTTTTTTATAAAACACATGTCCAAATTCCACATCTACCCAAATCGGAATACTTGATCACGTATTCAGTACTACACGGAATGTTTAGAAAACGCCAGGGAATAGGAATTTGCTAACGAGAACTCCAGGCCAGGGTACTAGCATACGAACAAAACAAAATAAAAACTCACCAGTGTACTTGTAGTAATTCATGTCGGTGTAATATTGACGATCAGCAACGAGGCACCGTCCGATTTGGTCAAGCTGCTTTGAAGTCTGGTTGTTCAGGTGATACAAACGGGCTCCCCGTTGTTACTTCCAGCAGCTTCACTCTCCCTACGACAGCGGCTATCAGCCTCTCTCTCCATCGTCAACAATTATCACAAATTCAACATTCTACATTTATCAGCACTGCACTGGGTGAATATGTCTCGAGACGAATTTAGCGGATCAACAACGCTTCGCTGGAGATAAATTCTCCTCTGGAGGACCTTCAGGGTACCTGGAAGGGTATAGAGGACGGGATCGCTCATGATGTTGAGAGAACATAGAAAACAACCTCCTTTTCGATTGAAAATTGGCCAAAAAGTATGTGAAATGTATGTGCGCAGATGCATTTCCACTGGCAAGCTAATCCCTCATTACGTCATCAGCGCTCGCTCGGCGAAATTCAAAATTCGTCTTCCTGCTCGACTCGATCGCTTCTGGAGACTCGTTCTTGTTCGAGGGGTCTTCTCTTTCACCTACCTTCGTCTTGGCATCGAAAACTCGCCGTCGAAAATGAAGCCGGAGTGCCCCTTTAAGGTGGCAGACTACCCAAAAATTCGCTGAAAAATCGAATTTGTAAATTCATATTGAGTGCTACGTCAGTTGAAAGAGCATGAATAGCTGCAAATTCTCTGAAAATTGTGTCCCGATCTGACCGGCCGTTCAAGAGTTATGGCCGAAAATGTGCCCTTGCAAGGAAAGATTTTTTTGTTGCACGCTGTCATTTGTTGGCAGCACTGTATTTGAATGTGAGCAGACTGTGCGCAACTTGTCGTATCATGGAAACACGTGAAAGTATGCAGAATTTTGCTCCTAGTCCAAAAAATCAGGTTTTTGAGCCACGTATTGGGCTGCACGGCGGCGGGCGAAGCCCGCCGCCGTGCAGCAGGACTTTTGCCAGCACCCTCGTGACGTTGCAGATATGTGGCTTGATTATTGTAGTTGACGTTGATTTAGTGACTTTGGCAAGTTTGAGTCGTTTCAAGAAGTCAGGTAGGATTCAGTACTAGGCAGTAGTGAAACGTGAGTGGTAGTCTTTGCCGGTTTCTGAGGGTATCCTGGATTTGGTGTGCAGCGCTGTGGAAATGGCTTGCTGTGGAGGTCCCAGCACTGGATGTTGTATCAAAGGTACGACCTCGTAGCACGTGCTAAACCTAAAAAAATTCAAAAATTGACTTGGGTCTGTGGGAGTGTGTGAGAGAACGCCAACTCGTTCGTTGTGACAGATTCCGGGGCCTCGTTGAGGGGCCTACCCCATCACCCATGGCTGCTTCTGGACTTGTTCTAGGTTTGAGTCCCGCGCACGAACAGAATGAGCACGAAAATGTGAAAAAATTGTAAATGCATTTGTTTGGCTCCTGGGTGGCTCGCACACCGTGGCACTATGCCGGAAATTTGAGTTTTTCCGGCCTGGAAAGCCTGTCAGTGAGGCGCAAGAACTTGTAAATCATGTCCTGAGGGCCAGCATAGTGGCAGGAGTGTGTGGTCAAAATTTCACTCAAATCCATTGAGAAACACCAAAGTTACGGTCAATTGAATGCCATATGAAATTTATGGGTAGGCTGCCCCCTTAACCCTTTAACCGTCAGACCATACATTTGTGGGTCGAATTCGACCCATGATTTGAAATACTCGCACTGGAATGATTTTTTACCCACGATAGAAAATTTACTATCGATTCGGTCGCAAATTTTCCAGGCTTTCTGTTGCAGAAATCCGCGTTGAGCTACGATGTAGTGGAGCAGAGTTATCAAGCGCTGAGTACTGCACGCTTGTCACTTCCGCTGCGCTGGGCGCGCGGCTGACGTCGTCACGGGATTTCCCCGTTTCTTCACGCGCTCTGTGACTGTTGCTCGCGACCAACGTATTCCTCACGAAATGCTCGATCCCTCAAAAAAAATTTGAACACTCTACGATGAAGGAGACGGCCATGGCGGAGTTTTGAACTTGTCATTTGCATGCCTGGCGTTGAGACGACGTCGCTGCGTTCCAGCGCTGGTTGTGTGACTGCTGAGGCGAAGAATGTGGTACCATCGTGCTGGTCTCGTCCAGAGCTTTCCAACGAGCCCAAGATTATAAAAATCGAGTGAGTACAACTAAAGTTATGACCTGGCAAAGTTGAAATTTCGTTCGGCGTTTCAATGGGTGAAATTTATATGACGGTTAAAGGGTTAAGGCAAAAATTAAAATTTCACCAGTTGTAGTCTTCGGGCTGCTGAGTCGAATGGTCTTGGTCCGAGAAAGCTGAGACGCTCCCTTCCTACTTGAATCCCAATCGAACTCGCGCACTTCCACCGAAACTGGGTGACTGCGCCCTACTAGATGGGGATTTGTATGCAAAATGTCACTAAAAGCGCCGTTTCGTTCTTATAAAAGCACGGATGACCGCGATTGGCCCATATGTTGTAGTCTTTTGGACGCTGCGTCGACTGGTTTTGGTCCGAAAAGGCTGCGATGCAGCGTTCCTCCTTTATTCCCAATCGAACATGGTTGAACAAGTGGTCACGTGCTCCTGGGTGCCCACATCACCTGGTCACCACGCCAGCAGGCGACAACTTACTTTCACACCAAGGTTCAACTCGAGTTCAACTCGAGTGACAGGACTGCACCCAAAAAAGGTCAAACAGGCTAGTAAGTTGTACCCTGCAGGCACGGTGACCAGCTGACTGGTGTACGCAGGAGCACGTGACCGCTTCTTCAACCATGTTCGATTGGGAATAAAGGAGGAACGCTGCATCGCAGCCTTTTCGGACCAAAACCAGTCGACTCAGCATCCAAAAGACTACAACATATGGGCCAATCGCGGTCATCCGTGCTTTTATAAGAACGAAACGGCGCTTTTAGTGACATTTTGCATACAAATCCCCATCTCGTAGGGCGCAGTCACCCAGTTTCGGTGGAAGTGCGCGAGTTCGATTGGGATTCAAGTAGGAAGGGAGCGTCTCGGCTTTCTCGGACCAAGACCATTCGACTCAGCACCCCGAAGACTACAACTGGTGAAATTTTAATTTTTGCCTTAACTTCCCCTTTAAATGTGACCTTTCGATCAGACCCTGTTAGGCACACTAGCATGAACGGAGGCTTGCCATTGCCGACAAAATTCTGTATCTGTTGATCACCCAAAGAGTCGAGGGCCAAATCTGCCTCCTCCGTTGCCTCAGGATAACTAGCTCCATGACCAAGTCAAATGTTATACGTATCGCCTCGTCTGTTCAGCCACACAGATGATGGTGAGGACACTGCAGGCGAAAGGGAGTAGACAGGCAATGGAGAGGAGCAATCAGAGGTAGCTCAGATACCTGACGATGCTGATGTCGCCGAAGATGCCTAGCCTGCGCAGCCATGTTGAGGTAAGAATCCTCTTTGAATAAATCACGCGCCAGCGCTCTTCTACAAGAAAATTCTTCCGAGAATAATTGCTTTCGGCAAGGTGAGCTTTTCCTAACAAACATGCCGAATTTTCGACGAGTTCGAGTGCATTTTTGACCTCGCTCCTGCGTGCCCGAATCTTTTGCCGAATATGATCGGAATGCAAAACCTCACTACTGACTACAGTCACAAATAGGAGATCCCCAATAGGCGTCAGCCTTTGGGTAATCCTGAAATAAAGATTATTATTATTATAACAACAAGCCCTATCAATAAACTGTTGAACGGTACCTTTCGGCTGTTGAATAATACAAGAAACGAACTCTCCTCCTCCATGCGCTCTAAAGCCGACCATTGCTACCCTCGGTAGCCATTACTCACACCAATAACTTCAAACAACGAAGGGGTCACGGGTAAAACATTTCCTTCTGACAGCTGTTTTGCCTATCAAAGCCCTGATTACATTAATTGAATGCGTTGTACATTTGCAATGCCAATGGGGCCCGTTTCACAACGTCAGTGCATCATTCTTGTTCTGGCTCATGAAACCACACACTTGCGTACGAGTTTCTTCGAACTAAAGGACTCGATGTCTGCATGACAGTCATATCCTAGTGTCTTAGATGTGGGAAGCTATTGGCGAAATGAGTCAGAACTGATCCTCACCAGACACCATCAGATCCGTGCACTAATCACAACCAACAACTAATATGCAACTAATATGCAACCGATCTTCATAACAAATAATAATTATGTCTATTGAATGATAATTATACAATAATACAATCAGGACTCGTGCAGGACTCGTGCGGGACATATCTTAGCAATTAGTCGCACTAGCAGAAATCAAAGGCACAAAATTGATGTTGTCTCTAAAAGGATTTCACAAAAAAGAAAAAAAGAAAACGGAAAGCAAAATCAGAACATTGGATATGCTACTGTCTAGATCAAGACTTTCTCGACTTGAGAAGGACAGTCATGATGACACTGAAGATAATGGGGTCCAATCACGTTCGACAGTAACTGTACTCCGTAACGTACATTGTATAATCATGGAACGTCCAAGACAGGCGGCCTGTGATACTAGTACACAATCAAAAAATGGAACGTCACTCATGCCTAGTAAGATACAGGAGTGCGGCTGGCGGCGTCGGACTTGCAGATTGGGTGTACACCATCGACTACAGATTGCTTTTGAGTCAAGCCTGGGCTTCCAGCTCATCTTCCATCTGTGCTAGAAGGTTTACGGTTTCGATCATGTTGTCCACCAGCTGGTACTCCGGGAAACCAAGGCGACGCCAGTTGCTGACATCAATACGATCGATCACCTGCAGGGGAACAACCGCGAATCGCACAACAAATTCATATGTTAGTCTCTAGTTGTATGATTGTGATCGATACTATATTTAAGGGACTCCGGTCTGGATACGGTTGAGGTGTAAAATCACTTGTCTGTAGACAGTATGTGATGATCTAAAACATGTTTGTAAATACGGACAGCCACACAGGACCAGCTCGGTGGAGGTGGTTGCCACACTACTCCGCTCTACCTAATGAACAAAGGCAAGTGTCCTTAAAAGGATGCATTTAGGCTGATGGTTCAGGCGAAGGAGGGGGGGGGGGGGGGGTGATTTTTTCCCTAACAGTGTACGAACATAACTTACTAGTGTGCAGTACACCAGCCTTACACTCACAGCGCTCAACATGTATAAACATGGAGCTTAGACACACAGTGGAAGGGGAACAGTTGTGCTCAGAAGTCCGGGTTTGATGATAAATATTGGATTCATCATCAAAATTAACTGTATCTAATACGTTGGTCATTGTTCAGTTACCTGATGATGGCCATGTGCCGAAACGTTGTTTACTAATGGAATTGGTTCAGATTTGCAGTGAGACTGAAATGTGTGTGTCCACCCAAAACTCTTTTCTATTATGAAGTAATCGGGCTAAGGTCCCGGTTGAATGGGCGAAGCAAAATATTTAATCAATCATACAGACTCATAATACTGGAAAGAGCAAGCACCACATGCGTGTATCAGCATACCTGAGTGTGTTCTCCCATGGTACCGCGGGCCTGGCAGTTCTTCTCACGGCACATGGCATCCAGTCCCTCAAGTCCGTGCTTGGCAATCAGCAGCGGCACCTTTTGATACCGGAAAAGAAGAAGAAACATGAATGATCAGACTCAGATAGTCCTTTGGTCCTCCCTTCTTAATTTTACACATGAATGACGTTGCCATATCAATAGCAATGGCGTAATTTCATGATGTATTGTTACACATCATGGCTGCGACAAGGTGACTCCTTCAGCCCCTGAATCACCCCATCAAATGTAATACATGTTATCCAACAACCCCAGACTAACGTATTCGTAAGGCGCCACATAATAGTGTGGGGTTATCAGCGGCAGTTTGTTACTGACGTGGAAATGACGACATAGCAGCATGGCAACTTGCATGCACCTGCTTTTCGTCCCTGGCTACACAAGGTGGTTCACTTCTACCAAATTTCGCCCGGTAGGTCATCCTCAAACCTATTTCTCTGATGATGCCTCCTTGGCGAAAATCTGGAAGACTCGCAGAATCGCGTGCTGATATAGTTGTACATAAAACCCTTTATTTGAAGCACTTCTGTGGTTACTCTTAAAGATACTGTTCAAAAGTACCAAATGCTCAATGAGCAAACTTTACTCTGTGTCTTTCAAATACATGTCATTATCGTGCAGTCTGAAAAAGGAGAGCTGGGTTCCGAAATACAAAAATGAGGCAGGTTCAATTCCAATCTACCGCAATCACACGCCTTTATTGTGAGAATTACAAATAAGGCTGGTTGAGGCAGCTCGAAGCAGATTGCCCAATGCACAAATGTACAGAGCAGTATACACATACAATGGAGAATGTCAAATGCTGCCGCCTGATGATCGCTGAAATGTGTGAAACTCGATGTACCGGCTACACAGCCTTCGCCTCCGTTGCATGAGTATTGTATTTATATATCCATCTCTCACCTTGATATGAACACTGCCACGCATGCCCGTTCCGATGTTGCTAGGGCAACAGGTGATGCATCCGATAATGTCGTGGGTCATGAAGGCCTTCTCCTTCCCAGTGACCTTCTTCACACCGGCCTCGATGGCTGCAATGCCGGCCGCGAGACGATCAAACACTCTCTTGACGTCACCACCCTGTTGCAAATAGAAGAAGAAAATTCGAACTTGTACTGTTATATTGATGAGTAGAGCACTTGTATTTACTGATTATGGATTCGAGCACTTCAGACAAATTGTCACGT